TTGTACTCAATACATAAAAGCAAACCTCGATGTAATGCCAGTAATTTTGCTTGTAATGAATTTTAAGGTCCAAAATTTTCTGAAAGGCAAAAATTATAGTATCTATGTGGTCTCAAAGAATTCCTCCACCATCGACATTCTGAAAGGCATCTTAGGAACTACCATCGACATTGAACTTAAACTCACCTACCAATGGTCGATAGCAGTAAATAATTTTTAGTGGATCGTGGCTCTTTTCATCAAGCTAGAAACCCCAATGTGTAGTAATGTCAAGATCTCCTCTCAATTGCCATTGACATAATAAATTACCTTAAAACAGCTACCGTAACATTTTCATAATCTGCCAAATTGCTCTATCAAGATACATTCCCAATCCCCTATACTTTGCATCATTGCTTTCAACCTAAAGAAACAAAGAAATCAACAAAGGTAATAATACTCGAACATGACCAAGTTTAGTATAATCCCCAGAATAATACCAAGAGTAAAAAATTTACATAACATTTCTGGGATTGTTAACATAGATTTGAAAGAATTTTGCAAAATAATTCCAAACCTGTTGTGCAATTGGACCTTCCCATATTACATGCATAATCATTTCCTCCGACTAGCAATACAGATACTTTGATGCTAATTAGAAGCATTTTGATTTCATCTACAACTCCATAAGAATCCAATTATGCACCAAATGCCATAAGGAAAGGAAATAGTTAGTGGGATGCTTATATGCCAAATAAACTTACCCAATGGATGAATAGGTTGTCTTTAGTGAAGTAGTTCTCATGTAGTCTTGGTAGTGAATTCTCCATTCAGCATTAGGGCCCAGTATGCCAAATCCTTCTGTGTACAACTGATATGAACCTTCAAAATCTCATCAATAATAATAGCTGGTAATACAGCTTTAAGTTTGTCCACATCCCATTCATTTTCATGAAAGAAATAATTAACCTTATCATGGAATGAGAAAATGCAAGGAAAGAATTTACCAATGGCTCATCACCCAACCAAGCATCATACCAGAAAAGTAATTCACCTTGACTAATCCACCACCCTATTTCTTGCCCAATTTTGTCTCTTCCATTGATCATTTGCTTTCATGTAGGGGAGTTATGTGGTTTAGTAGTGATTGTGTGAGGAATTTGGCTAGTACAATATTTAGCTCTCATATACTATGTCCACAAGTTACTGAAAGTCTGAAATCTCCACCAAAGCTTTCCAGAGAAAGCCTTAAAAACATCTTTCAAGATATGAATATCTAGACCACCTTCAGAACCAGGAAAAGTAAGTTTAACCTAAGATGCCTAATGAATCTTTTTGCTGTCCGTGGATCCTCCCCATAAAAAACTACTAAAAAGTCTCTCTATTTTCTCAATAACACTCATCAAGGGGTTAAGTACCTGTAAAAGATATATAGGCAAAGAAGAAATCACACTGCGTAATAAAGTGAGGCAACCTCCAAGAGAGACAATTATATTCTCCCAAATCGTGATGCGTCATCGAATTTTAGTGATGAGTGAATCAAATAACAGGACCTTTATAGAGTGGTGCACTTAAATAAATAATTGGTAGAGTTTTGTGTACAAATCCTATGGTCTAAGAGATAATGTGCCATTTTGAACGCTTGAACTAGCTATATTGCGAGTTGTGACAAAACAACTCTTTTGAGGATTAACTTTCTGTCCTAAAATATGCTCATATTCTTGTAAAAATTTAAGAATTCTCTCTGAGGCTGATTTGCTTCCATTAATAAAAATAATAATATCATCTGCAAAGGCTAAGTGACTAATATTTATAGAACGACCATAATGGAAACGCAATGAACCATACTGAGAAAATAGATAATTAAGGCCTCTAGATAAGTACTTAGCTGCCAATATAAATGAAAGAAGCAAGATTGAATCATCTTGTCTTAACCCTTTTTCCAATTTGAAGCAGCCAGTGGAATGCCCATTAATTAAGACAGAGAACTAACAATTAGAGATGCACCACTTAATCATGTCAATCCAAAGAGAATTTAAGCCAAATGCCTCTATGATTAAATACAAGAAATCCCAATTCAATCTGTAATATGCCTTCATCATATCAAGCTTCAAAATCACATTACGTCCCCGAGTTTTGTAGTCAATCTTACCAACTAATTCTTAGGCTAATAGAATATTATCACTTATCAATCTGCAATTCACAAAACCACTTTGGTTATCCGAAATTAAGGAAGGTAAAACTTTAGCTAACCAGTTTGCCAACAGTTTAGTAATTATTTTATTGAAAACCATACATAAACTGATTGGGTAAAAATCACCCCATGAATCTGCATTCGATTGCTTAGATAAAAGCATTAAAGTTGTAGAAGTTACCATCCTCAGTAGCATAGCTCCATTGAAGAAATCCCTCATTCCTGCCAAAAGATCATCTACAATTATAGGCCAACACTGTTGATAAAAATAAGATAAAAAGCCATCCAGGCCTACTACACTATACTTTTCAATATCAAAGACTGCTACCCTCAGTTTTGTCATGATAGGTTCTACACTTAAACCATGATTGTCATGCTCAGAAATTAAATGAAGGATAAAACTAGCATTAAACATGGTAAGATCTGTAGCTTTTGCCTTCAAGAGATGGGCAAAATAATCTATTGATAAAGATTCAATCTGTGTCGGCTCCTCAATAATATCCCCTTCACTATTTTTTTATTTTAAAAATAAAGTTTTTCACACGTGTTTTTTGCACTCTCATATAAAAAAACTTTGTATTCCATTCACCCTTTACGAACCAACGAACTCTTGATTTTTGTTGCTAGTACATTTCTTCGATGTGGAGATGGTGATTAAGCTTAGCATAGGCAAGATGAAGTTGTTGTTGGTTTACAAGTGATTGGTCCTGCTGAAAAATCTACCCTCTCTTCTCTGCACATTTTTTCACTACTTTAAGATTACCAAATATGTCTTCAAAAACATGTTTATTCCACTATTTCAAACTCTTTTTGAGATGTATCTGCTTAAACCAAAAGTCATCAACCTAATTCCTTGCACTGGATCTTTCCAGCATCTTTCTACAAAATTAAAAAAAATCATGATGTTTTACCCATGCATGAATAAACCAAAATGAGGAAGGCTTTTGTAAAGAAAAATCGGAACATGAAACCAATAAAGGACAATGATCCCATCCATCATGATTTAAATGTTGAATCCTTGTGCTGGAAAAATAGGAAACCCACTGCATATCAAAAACAACCCGGTCTAACCGCTACAACATATGGCCATTGGTTTAAGTATATTTATTCCTTTCAAACCCTACATCCATCAAGCCACTATCAAGGAGAGTTAGTGCAAAATCTTCCATTGAACCTGCATTTGGATTGGCCCTAAGAAGTTGTTCATCTCTGTTAAGTATTACATTAAAATCTCCTCCTGCCAGCCATCGTTCTTGAATTCCTGCAGCTATAAGCCTAAAAAAATCCCATAAATCTTTTCTTTCCAAACAAGTGTATTTAGCATAAATAAAGGAAATTTGCAAAGAAAAAAGGAGGTAGAGAACAAATATTTGGGTAGGCAGACATTAAGGATGATAAAACTTGATGGAGCATAAAACATCATGTTTCTAGAATATCCATATTTTTTGAGAGCAATTACAAGCTGATATGAAAGTAAAAGAAAATAATAAAGCAATGGTGGTTTTTTCGTTGAAAAGGAGCAGAAGGAAAAAAATAGAGTAGTAGATGGAGAAAGATGCTTCATTAGTTAGCAAACTTAACATATATACAAGCATCATATGATTAACACTTGTTTACAAAAAAAGACAAGTTTTGCCAACATTAACATGCATAAAGACACCTCATGACAATTGGTATAATTCACCTAATAACCAATACAACAAAGCAAAATACATAGTAAGACAAAAGATAAGATGAATGCATGCTCAGTCAATGCATGCTTTATCTCTAATACACCTCTTTAAAGCTTGCATTAACAACATTCAGTTTAGTTCTTAAAGTTTCAAATTTGGACTTAGGCAGAGTCTTAGTCATGATGTTTGCTAACTAATTTAGAGAAGAACAATATCCCCACTTCTTTCAGCTTCTCGGATGGCATGGAACTTAACCTTTAAGTGTTTAGTTTTGCCATGAAACACAGAGTTTTTTGTGATAGCTATTACAGACTTGCTATCAACAAAAATACTTGTAGGAGTTTTCTGTGTAAAGGTTAAGTCCTTCAATATCTTCCTTAACCAAACAGATTGGTTAGTAGCAGCATTGGCTTCTATATACTCTACCTCAATAGATGATTAGGGAACGACGGCTTGGTTATGTGAATTCCAGGAGACAACTCCATTTCCTAAGAAGAAAATATAACCAGATGTGCTCTTTGAGTCATCAATACTCCCTGCCCAGTCATTGTCTGAGTATCTAATTAGATTAATCTCTTTCAACCTTCCAAAACATAGACTATGATGACTACTGCCATTCAGATATTTGAGAATGCGTTTGGCTACAACAAAATGAATGTTAGAGGGATCTCTCATGAACCAGGATACAAGACTTACTGAATAGATTAACTCAAGTTGAGTTGAACAGATGTAGAGTAAACTTCCAATAAGACTTCTATAACAAGTAGCATCCTTGAGTTTGCATCCATCATTTGAGTCAACTTTTGATTTACTACAAGTGGAATGGAAATAAACTTGCAATCGCTCATGTGAAATTTGACCAAGATATCTCTTATGTAATTTCCTTGTGACACAAAAATGCCTTTGTTTGTTTGGCATATTTGCATCCCAAGAAAATAGTTCATCAAGCCTAAGTCAGACATACTAAAATTCTTCTCCATGTCAGACTTGAACTTATTAATTTTATCTATGTTATAGTCAGTAATCAACAAGCCATCAACATATAAAGAAATGATTACTTGAGCTTGGCCTTTTGAGTGAAGTACATACATAGTTGCTTCATTATAACTTTTCTCAAATCGAAGACTTTGTAAATAAGCATCAATCTTGCTATTCTAGGTGCGAGGAGCCTGCTTCAATCCATACAAAGCCTTATGCAACTTGTAAACTTTACCAGTTTCTAATTCAATCTTGAATCCTTTTGGTAGCTCAACATAAACCTCTATTTGTAGTGTACCATTCAGGAAGGTTGACCTAACATCAAAATGATATTCTTTCCAACCAAATGCAACTAAAATAGCCAATAGCAATCGAATGGTTTCATATCTAGCTACTAGTGCAAAAGTATGCAGGAAATCAACACTTAGTAGCTGAGAATAACCCTTGGCAACAAGTCTTGCCTTGCACTTGTTTAAGGTACCATGAAAATTTATGAAAATCCACTTCACTCCAATCATATGTTGCTTTTCAGGTCTGTCAACAAGTGTATAATGTTTTTCGATCATCTGTCCTACACCAAGTAAGTTATGTGGTATGTCTGGAACTAAAAGGACATCATCAACATACCTCTGACTAGATGGAGTTTGTATGCCCACTGTTCGTCTACCAACAACATTCAAGTACATTCCATTTCCAATCTTCACTCTAGAATGATAACATGTATCAAGTTGAGTGAACAACAATGAATTTGGTGTCACATGATTCGAGTTGCCACTGTCCAACAGCCATTGTGCATCATCAGTCATATTGTTGTAAGTAGCCATGAAGAGTTGCTCTTTTGAAGCTTCAACATTCTCAGCTGTATTAGTGATCTTCTCATTTGCATCAAATTTGTTTTTGCAAACCCTCTCTACATGACCTAACTGTTTACATGCATTAAACTTTGCATCAAACTTGAACCAACAATATGCCTCAATATGACTCTCTTTTTTTGCAATGAGGACAAACAGGGAATCTGGTCCTTCTATGTTGACCTTTTTGACCCCGAGTACTTTTTTTCTCCTTATCTTTTATCTCGCTTACATTTTTCTTTGCTAAGGCTTCTACATGTGCCTTATCTTTCATTCGAGCAGTGAAGGCAAGGTCAGTTTTTTCATTTTTTCTAGCAGCTCTCTTTTGTTCATCAACTTCTAAAATGTTCACTAAATCTGATATGGTGAGCTAAAAAATATCTTTTACCTATTCCAAGGATGATACAGTAGCATTAAACCTTTCAGGCAAGCTTATAAGAACCTTCTCCACAACCTTAGCATCAGATAAAGTCTCTCCCAACAATCAAATTTGATTTACCACCTTCATCACAGCATCAATGAACTCCTGCACCGTTTGACTGTCTTTCATCCTTAGTAATTTATATTGCCTTCTAAGGTTCTAAAGTCGAATCTGCTTGTTTCTGGCAGACCCTAAAAACTCTACTTCAAGCTTATTCTAGGCTTGTTTTGCTGTCTCACATCCCATGATTCGATTGAAAACAGACTTTGTAATTGCAGAGTGTATAAAGGATAAAGCTCGATATTTCTCTGCTACATCCTCTTAATGTTGCTTCACCTGTGCTGGTGTAGCATTATCTCTCAATACTTGAACTTTTATCTCATTTTCTACTGCATTCTATAGATTGACTCCTCTAAGAAATGCTTTCATTCTAATGGCCCAAATAGGATAGTTAGAGCCATCAAAAATGAGTGTTGTTTGCTGTGTGACAGTTGAGGTTGACATTGTGTTTGAGAATAAGCTTTTAATGAGTGAAAAGAAGTTCTTTTTTAACAAGCACAAAGATCGACTATATGCTTTGATACCATGATAAGAAAATAAAAGAAAATAATAAAGCAATGGTGGTTTTTTTGTTGAAGAAGAGCAAAAGGATAAAAACAGAGCAGCAGATAGAGAAAGATGCTACATTAGTAAGCAAACTTAACATATATACAAGCATCATATGATTAACACTTGTTTACCAAAAAAGACAAGTGTTGCCAACCTTAACATGCATAAAGACACCTCATGACAACTGGTATAATTCACCTAATAACCAGTACAACAAAGCAAAATACATAGTAAGATAAAAAATAACACGAATGCATGCTCAGTCAATGCATGCTTTATCTCTAACACAAGCTGCTCCCTTAAACCCTAGCTTCCTTCTATAGAATTCCAATTGAGACCCATGCACCATCTGTTCAATGATAACCAAAATTTTAATTTGGTGCATCAACTATAACTTTTTTATTTTTCTTTGGATGACTTTCCCAGCCACTCCCCACACATTCCAAATTAAAACACTAATCATGGATATGTTTTAGGAGTAAATTACATGGAGACAGAATCTTCACAAGTTCCATCTATCAATAAGTGACCTTCATTCTCGGAGGAAGCACCTCAGATGTGTTGTAAAACACCTCACTATCAGATTTCCCTTTTCTGGAAGCCATAGGGTGATATTCAATACGTTGACTACCTGATTCTAGTGATGGATCCATGTTGGAAAGTGATCTACCATTTTCATCATTTTTGCATCTCTTCCGCTTTGCCTTTTCCAATCGTAGTGCTTCCCCTTATTCCGCCTCTCTCGCGTCGGCCTCCTTATGATGTATAATCTTTCACCGCAATGGCTCCGCTTCACAGCTTGTATGGGGAATGGTTGCATGGGAAGGGATTAAACTAATTTCTTTACTTAGTTGTTAGTGTTCCTGCCCATACATATCATTGTCGGCTTGTTTGGTGCCTGCATGATGAATAGTGTCGAGTTGAAGAAAGCCATCGGGACTCACTTCATGACCACTACTGAGTTGACTCATTTCCAAACCCAACATAGGGATATTTTCCCCACTGCCTTCTATCATTTCAGTTTATGGTTGAATCTGTTGCTAGCCCTCCAGATTCTGCCAACCTTTAGTAAACCTGCCTACTACCACCGGCTATTACTGAGTCTGACGCTTGATTTGGTATTTGTTTTTTGAATTTTTTTTCTTTTGGTTCTTCCTAAGGTTACATTAGAGGCATCCTCGACTGCCCATTGAATGTAATCATGAGTGCCAATATTCTCTACACTAACAGGTGGGTCACTGTTAGTTCTTGAACTCTCCTCAACTCTTCCATGGGTGGACCTTTGATCGGAAACCATTCTTGTCGGGACTGAAAGCCCCTTATCAGCCATAGATAAAAGAACAACATCCTCTTGCATAGTAGGTAATTCTCCAATTGATCCTCGATTCTTATGCATGGGTAATACCTGTTGGAAATTTCATGTTGAGGCTTGCTTCTTGGTGGATAACTTTTCTTCCTCTTTTAAGATAACCTACTGCCTTTGATTAGTTTTGTGTGTACTGCTGCCCATCCTCTGACTTTCGTCCATTCCATGAATTGCTACCCCCACACTGTCACGTCTTGCATCCATGTCGAGCAGCGCAGCCAAAAATTTATTTTCTTTCGTACGATCACTGTTCACGTGCTCTGTTTGCCTTTGTTTTTGATCCGATTTTGCTTCCATTTTCATCCTTGATCGTTTGAAATCTATTGAAGACAAGTACCTGGCATCCCTTGGATCTTTTTCTGATTCTATTTCCCTTTCTATCTGATCCTTTGCCCCAATTTTTTTTTATTTACTAGCTCCTTGCCATTGTTTCCCCTAATTTAGTGCCTCCATACATTAATCTGCCTTTTTCTTTTATGTGTTACTTACTCGATCTTTTATACCCTGGTTCTTATCATCCATCTCCAGAAAATGATCTGTAACATGGTCTCCAAAAGGTTTATCCCGATGGTTTCCAACTAGTTTTGACTTGGCTGTTTCAGTTCTCCACCCTAGCACCAAGCAATTTGAGATCCCATGCCCGACATGATAGCAATGATTGCAATAGTCTAGCATGGGAGAAAATTCAACCTTTTGTAAATATCCACCTATGTATCATCCGAGCCTCTTTTACTCACAACAATCCAAACACTGTCCATTAGAGGCTTCTGTTAGGATGAGCCCTAAAGCCAATTGCAATTGGTTAAGGCTTGATTTCAATCATACAACAACATTATTCATATTGAATGATTAAAGGCTTTCCTTCATCAATAAAACATCAATTATAATAAGTTATAAAGTCTAATTGGATGAAGTCCATGAGATTAATATGCCTTGCAAGGAAACTGTAATGGGTTACAATTATGAGATTCTTATGCATCAAAGCATAATCTCAAAAATGTTCCTAGTCAATGTATCATTGAGATTGGACATCAATGATGCCTAGAGACCAGTACATTCTATGTTCCTTATTTGAGAAGTAAGCAATCGATCTCATAGGCTGAAGTATAGAGATACTTGGAACTAGAATGTAGGTGCTTGCCTAGGAAAGCAAGTTCACTGAACATGACCCGTCGTGAGAAGAGCATTTGGTATTTCACTCAAGTGTCTATGCAATACTTCTCATGTGTCAGTTGTGTAAATACTCTCTGGACTTGAGATACTATGTTGTCTTATGTGTGGAGTGCTATGCTTTGATTTTATCCCTATGGGTGCCTAAGCAAGGATGCCAAAATGGGATACTTTTGAGTATAGCATGAAGCATGAGAAGGCATATGAGTAGTCAAGATAAGAATCATCACCCCAAGTGATGCAGGGGACATATCCTAACTTTTCTTGGTTAATATTAACTTATTGAAGTCCTTGGCCAATGCGACTTGAAGATTACGAAAAGAGTTTCATAAGTCTTTATAAAGCTGACGATCAAACTTTAAGAATAAATGTGAAGATCAATAAGAGTGAACATCGCACCTTCCTCTTATCATCTCTGGGATATATGATGAGGGAATGGATTACACTATAAGGCTGATCACTGAAAGTTTGAGTCAAACCATCTTGACTCTTCTAACATTCGGGTGGCCATGCCGGATTGTTAGATCCCAATCTTGGTCTATGAACTCTAGGTAGTTAACTTGATTAATGATAAATTTAAAGTAGTTTAAAGTTATCTAATTCTAAGGTTAACCTAAGAATTATATGTTGAGTTCATTGCCAACATGTTAGAAGTCTAATGGGTCACACACCCAAACTGAATGTTGAAAATAAAATAGGAAAGGTGATTAAGTTGGACTTAATCAAATTAGAAGTTCTGAGTTTCTCAAGCACTTGATTAAAATTGTTTAATTAAGTTGTGCCTAATTCATTAAATTATTTAATTATGTTATTAGGCCTAATTGATTAAATTTGTTTAATCAAGTTATTAGGCATAATTGATCAAATTATTTAATCCAGTTATTGAGCCTAATTGATTAAATTTGTTTAACCAAGTTATTGGGCCTAATTGATTAAATTTGTTTAATCTAGTTATCAGGCTTAATTCATCAAATTATTTAATTAAGTTATTGGGCCTAATCAATTAAATTGTTTAATTAAGTTATTGGACCTAATTAATTAAATTAAACAATTAAGTTAATTAGGCTTCTTAAGGACTTAATTAAATTGTTTATTCAAATTATTGGATTAATATGCAATTACAAAATAGTTTTGTAATTAGTGTTTAAAATTAATCCAAGGTATAAATACCTTGTTATAGCCTGCAAACAAAATGTGAGAGAAAAGGCTAAAAAAGAAAGTAATGGCAGATTAGAAACTCTTTTTTTTGTCGTTCCATGTGTGAAGAAAAACAGTTTTCATGCGCTTAATTCCTTTTCAGCCCCATAATTTTGTGTGGATTATGAGTTTATGAAACTCATCTTAGCTAGCACATTGTTAAGGCATAGCACTCCCGATCCTTAAAAAAAGATTTTCTAATTCATTAGTGTGGATCACCATTAAAGGCTGCACAAGGATTCCTTAGACAGTTTTGGTTTGCAACAATTAGGTTGAGGTGATTGAGCTTTTTGAAGCCAAATCGGTGGTTTAACAAACAAGTCATTAACCTTTGTTATTAAAGTAAATTTGATATGATCATTCATATATATTTTATTTGTAATGTAATTTCATACTCAATTCAGCATGAAAGAGATCTTAGGAAGGTAAGGACTAATTTAATCTTAAATTTATTTCTGTTATGCTTATTTGTGTTTGATGCATGATCAGCCCTTACCTAATAGCTTCAGTCAGTCATATTCAATGTAAATTGGAGCCATGCTCAGTCTGGTTCCATTTGCAGTTGCTTCATTCACACAAAGGGGGTTGCCAATGGATTTAGCAATCAACAATAATGCAGTTTCTCAAATAAATGTGCTTTGAGGTTTGGAAATGAGATCCAAACAGGTACTATTGAAGGTTTTTTCTCTAGTTCGAAATCTAGAGTCCACTTAAACACCCACATCTTCTAGTTTGATATAAACCATGTTTGCTTGGTCCGGATTCTGTTGATGTCTTATTTGTTTGACAGATGAATTAAAATATGCTTATAATTCATCCATCGTATATTATACACACTCGATAATCCCAAACCCATAAAGGCTTGTCGAATTTCAACCAACCTTGACATTTGTGAGAATTTCTTGATGATTGAATATTTAAAAGGCTACGCTAGGGCTTCAATCTCATCTTCAAAAAATCATGTACCCGGTTTGTCCTCGTAGTGAAAAGTTGATATCGTAAGCAGAATCAATGATGGTTGTGCAACCGAGACAATGGATAGGAAGGATTTTTTAGTTGTTCTTAGAGACACAGGGGGGTGCAACTGGGTTTGCAAGACATGGACACATCATTGTTGACTGGCGACGCATGACTTTTTACTTGTGCAAGGTTATGGGGTGGGCTCGATTGCATAGAAGAGGAAGGACTAACCGGTAGAGAGGAGATGGGGGGATTTAGCCACCGACCAACAACCATCCCGTGAAGGTGAGAAAACGGGGGGAAGTGCTTAAGGATGACTTAGTTTACTTTGAAGGGCTATTAAATCTGTCCCAAGGTTTTCCTTGTGTTGCATGTAAATCTTTTTTGAATGTTACTAATTTATTTGTGCTTTTGTAGGTATTTGATGAAGGAAGAATTTTAATGAAAGAAGGAGAGTAATTTCAAGGTGCAGATTTACACTCCACATATTTCGGTATTCTACCCATAACTTTCTCTACAGAGCTCCAAGTGAAGCAAATCTTTTACCATTGGAAAGATAAGAGAAAAAGAAACAACTTTCATGTTTATCACTTTGCCTAGTTCGACTTGAAAGGTAGTCAAAACTCTTGTCAAAGTTAATACACTGTAGCAATCATAGAGCAATTACGATTTTTGTTAATTAATTAGGTAAGGTTGTGACCCACATAGTCTGATGAGGAAATCCTAGCCGAAATTGACTTCTTTCTTCACTAACTTGGCCTAACTTTAAAGTTTATAAAAACAACCTTTCAAAAGACTTTAGAGGAGAAGAGGAGGAGAGGAAAAAAAAACACTAGATTAACAGCTGAGAGTCAAGCCATAGAGTCATTGAAGCTAAGAAGAATTTGAAGGATTCAAGAAGATTTGGTGATCAAGAATGCAATCCTTGGTTTTTTCTATCTTTTTGTTATTCTCCTATTCTCTTGGTTTTGTTTTTAATGTTTAACATTTATTCGATAATAATGTGTGACTTGATAGGGAACTAAGTTGTTTATCTAAAATTATGATTGAACTCAATATGTAGTCTGAATTATTTATCTCTTTTTTACTTATGTTTGATAGATTTAAGTTGTTTATTTTATTCTATTCTTAATGCTTCTAGTTGACTAGCCACCAATTAGATTGAATTGAAAACCTAGGTAAACCCTTGATGAAGGAGATTTTGGTAGACCTTGAATAGAATAGTGTATGATCGAATGCATTTAGTTGATTAGGTGGTTTGATTTGCATATAGGGTAGACATACACCTATAGGCCATATGTAGCCAAAATTAGAGTACAAACTTAATGAATCTTTCGTCAATATAATTTGCATAGACATACAACAAATTAAGAAACTTGATAGAGACTTGTAAATAGTTTAAAACTCTAAGTTAGCAACTTAATCCATAAAACTAAATTGAAAGAGAGAGACAATAATCAGATGAAAGATTAAGGGATATCATAATCTTAGATCTGGTAATCATTAGAAATAAATTTGCTGATATATTAGTTTTAGTTACTATTTTTAATTGTTTAGATAAAATTAAGGTATGTTAATTTTAGTAGTTAACAATAACGATTAATTCAATTCTTTATGGGATCGACACTCTACTCATCTGTATATTATCTTTGCTATACGTGCACTTATGTGAGTAAAAAATGGAAAAATAAGTTTTTGGTACA